TTTTTTTAGACCAGGTGTTGCTGTCACCCAGGCATGATTCATGATTACATGATTACAATCACAGGTCACTGCAGCCTCAAACTCTCAAGTGATCCATTTTCCTTATCCTAAGTAGCTGGGACTACAGGTATGTGCCACCATGCCCAGCCTAACATTCTTTATTTTCTTTTTTTTTGAGATGGAGTCTCACTCTATTGCCCAGGCTGGAGTGCAGTGGTGCAATCTCAGCTCACTGCACCTCCCCCTCCTGGGTTTATGAGATTCACCTGCTTCAGCCTCCTAAGTAGCTGGGATTACAGGGGCCTGCCAACACGCCTGACTAATTTTGTATCTTTAGTAGAGACAGGATTTCACCATGTTGGTCAGGCTGGTCTTGAACTCCTAACCTCAGGTGATCCACCCGCCTCAGCTTCCCAAATTGCTGGGATTACAGGTTCTAACACTCTTGAAATAACAAAAATTAGAGATAGAGGACAGTTTAGTGCTTGCCAGAGGTTAGTCCTGGGGGCCTAAGTAGAGAGGGAAATGGGTGTGTTTATGAAAGAGGAGCATGAGGTTTCCTTGTGATAAACTGTTTTAGATCTTGACTGTGGCGGTCACAGGAATCACAGGTGATAAAGTTGCACAGAACTACAGATACAAATGAGTGATGTAACACTGGTGAAATCTTAGTGAGGTTGATGTTTCTATCAGTTTCAATATTTTTGGGGGGACAGAGTCTCGCTCTGTCACCCAGGCTGAAGTGCAGTGGTGCAATCTCAGGTACAAGCGATTCTCCTGCCTCAGCCTCCTGAGTAGCTGGGATTACAGGCGTGTGCCACCATGCCCGGCTCATTTTTTGTACTTCTAGTAGAGACAGGGTTTCACCACAGTTTCGATATTCTGTTGTGATATAGTGTACTATAGTTATGCAACGAGTTGCCATTGGAGAAAACTGGCTTACCTCTCTGTATTTTTTATTTCTTCACTGATAAAGCTTATAATGTTTTTTTACAATTGCATGTGAATCTACAATTATTTTAAATGTAAAGTTTTTTGTTGTTGTTTTGTTTTGTTTTAGTTGAGAAAAAAAAGGCAGGCCAGGTGCGGTGGCTCACGCCTGTAGTCCCAGCACTTTGGGAGGCTAAGGTGGGAGGATCGCTTGAACCCAGGAGTTCCAGACCAGCCT